GGAATCGGGGTACCCCCCTCTGCTCCTTGCACAGACACGTTGGAGTTGCTGGGGCAGATCCCCAGGAATTTGGGGCTGGATTGGGTGCAAAAGAGAAACCCCAAAAGAACCCAAAAAGCTGCTCCTTCCCACAGGTGCTCGGGGGCTGGGAATGTGCCGGGACCTGCGGGAAAGGAGGTGATGGGATGGAGGAATTCCCCATCCCAGTGCTGAGGGCAGTGGGGGACAGTGGTGGGGACGTGACTGGGTGTTTGGCACAAGCCCCAGGAGGGAGCAGAGCAGCGTGTGGTGCCCAGCAGAGGTGATGCTGGAGCTCCCTGAGGATCCCAGCTCCCTGCTCCTGCCGGGTTCTCGCCTTCCCTGCCAAGAAACGAGTCTTTCCTCGGGCGAGGTGTTTACTCAGTGGCTTCCTCACCTGCCTCACCCTGCTCAGCACCGACCTGCCGGGCTGTTTGCACCCATGGCAACCTGAGAGGGACGCTCAGTAGCTCCCTCCTCCTCTTCTTCCTCCTCCTCCGCTGCCCTGGCACTGGTAAAACGGGGTCTGGGAGCTGGGAGGGCCATGGATGGTGCTGGGACAGGCTGGTGGCAGCAGCCGGGCTCTCCAGTTACATCCCAGTGCTCCCACGGCTCCTGTAATCCAGCAGGGTTTCATTAATTCATGGGGGTTGGAGGCACAGGGAGAGGGTGGAAAATGATGCTGGGGGGATGGAGAGAGGAGCAGCAGGATCCCCACACCCCCCCACACACCCACCCTGGCTGTGGGTTCAGGATAACCAGGGATGAAGGGAAAACTAGGGAGGTTTCCACCACTGTTCACCCTGTTTGGGGAGGGGGATGCTGCTGTGTCAGGGGGAACCTCGTAGCCAGGGGGCTGCAGGTTAATATGGTGAGGAAGAGGAGGAGGAAGGAGGCAGAGGTGGCTCTGCTCTCAGCCAGGCTTGGTCCTGCCCTCCCCGTGGCCTCTCCATCAATTATTGAGGTGCTTTTGCTTTCCTGCATGAAATATTCAGCCTGTTGCCAAAGGAGCTGGGGGGGGGACTTGGGAGGATGAGCACAGGGAGTCACTCGTGGGTCCCTTGAGGTGGGGACAGTTGGGGAAGAGGGGTTTTTGGGACAGGCAGAATTAACCCAGGGGTGGTGTCACTGCTGGGTTTGGCTCCTTTGCCATAATGAGCCACTGGCCCCCAGTGCTGGGAGGATGGTGGGGTCTTGTGTTCCCCACCAACAGGATTGATGCTTTTAAACCACAGAGGGTTGGACTCTGCTCTGGCTTGTGCCCACCGTGGTGAAGGAGATCTGGGGTCTCCATGGTGGGTGGGGGCTGAGGTTGGATGGGACCCTCATGGCCTGGCAGGAAGCAACACCCACAAGTCCCAACCTTCAGCTGAGCCCTCTTGAGTTTTGCAGCTCAGGGCTGCAAAACTCCCCCCAAAACCTCTGAAATGGGTGGGAAACACCCCACTCCCCCCCCCAAAAAAAAAGGGCTGTG